AATTTACTAAATTACTATGCATATATATAAATTTTATAGTAGAATAGCAATATAAAATTGAATATATTCATATTATAATTACTACAATACTATACATATTAATTTCATAGTAGAATAGTAACATAAAATAGTGTTCTTACGTTCTTACATTAAATAGTGTTCTCATTTAAACTTAACCATATATATATATATATATATATATATATATATATATATATATAGAGAGAGAGAGAGAGAGAGAGAGAGAGATAGAGAGAGAGAGAATAAAATCAACAAAAATCTTAAAATGTATTTGAATATTTGGGGACCTTATCTACAATAAAAAAAATCAGTAAAAGGATTTTAAAATTTTATTTAAATGAATTTTTCAAATTATTCATGCAAATATTATATTTTATTTTCATATAACTATTACTACTTTACTACTAGCTCACTTGTAGTTTTTTTTTTTTCTAAAAAAAAACTTCATTCCTTGAATAAACTAGGATTCAGTAAATTAAATAGAAAATGCCTTGAATAAAATCGTCTTGAACAAACTCTATTCCAACAACAAAGTTGGACTCTCGTAGTAATATAGATTTAACTGGATAAGGTCGCTTACGACGGCCAACCATTACACAAACAAATGCACCGAAAAAAAAAAAAAACAAAGAGATAAGTTTACCTGAGATGAAAATAAGGAACAAATAGTAATAGGACGGAGACGAAGACGGATGATACGTAAGAAAAACGGATAAACATAAGTTACAGTCACAGAGCAGGCACGATGACCAACACGTGGAGGCAGAATACAATTATTTTCATAAATTACCTTTATACCCTAAACAATCAAAAACTGAAAAAGAAGATATAATCAAGGGATCATTTTTGCCAACTTCTTAGGAAGTTTACTGTTGCTAAGTGTTCGCACAACTTTAATATATATATATATATATATATATATATATATATATATATATATATATATATATATATATATATATATATATATATATATATATATATAATCTGAAAACCAACTTTGAATTTTAACCGTTGAGAGCACCAAACGTATTCTTGATAAATATATTTTTATATAAAAATGATTGATGATAGGAATGTCTTGTCTACCTTTTTCACCATTTTATAAACTTCTTCTATTCTATCACATATTTGCCACACAACTGCACTATAGACGGCCCCTCCACTGCCATGTTTAAATAACTCATAAAAGACTTGCTTTATTTCACTGCCATGAATTTACAGTTCTCACAAAAGTTTTCACAATATTAAATACTACTGACTACTGGACTTTACGCACTCTGGTTAATATCTGGATGCATTATGCATGCCAATAAAAGAGATACCAGGTAAAAAAAATAAGTGATTGGGTGGATTCGGATGACTAACAAAATCAATGTGGTTTATCTTTTCGTTTTTCTTTTCATATCTTTTTTTTGTTTGAAATGTCAAACTACGTATCTTTTTTCTAATTTAACCTTAAACATCACTTAACATCACTTATCTCTAGTGAGACTTGGTTTTGCTTTTCATAAAGCCAACTTCTAAACACTTAGAAAAGTTCATATTTATTATACACCTGAAAAATTAAATATAAAAATTTCAAATATGATTATTTTTAGAAAAATCCTTAAATCTTAAGCACGTTTTAAATGCATAATAATAAACGTCTAGTAGTTAAAGAGCAAAACTCTATAAATGATGCTAGAAGTTCAAATATTGTTACTGCAAAATTCTAACGGGCACAGTTAATAATCATCGGTTTGTATTTTTTCTAAAACAAATTATAATGCTTTTTTAAAAGAAGATGAAAATTTAAAAATTTATTTTATTATTCTATTATAATATTGTTATATTGTCTTTTTTCAATATAAAATATAATCTCACATAGTCTGATTAATTGTAGGTGGTCTTTAGTTACACTATATATAAGCGATTCTGAAAATTAATTCAAAAAACTCAATAGTATTTACTATTTACTTAAAAGCTACAAGAAATAGGTTTAGATTTAAAACATTTTATTAATATACATTTTTATCACTTTTTGAATTTTGCCATTGTTTTTTTTTTTTTTTTTTTTTTTTTTTTTTTTTTTTTTTTGGACTTGTTTTACTTGATTCTTTTATCTATTACCACTTTTTGCCCTCTTATCAATTTTACTCCGCCTCCTCTTTTGCTTTAAACGATTTCCACTTTTTTGTCGTCACTTCCTTATTTTTTTTAATGTGCACTTAAAAGATCATATCGTCAAAGAAAGTTTTTTCTTTAAATCGAACATTTTATTAAAAACCAAAAAATAAAAGCTCTCAAAGGTTTTCTGTCAAACATGCCTATAACATAACCTTCATTTAATTTCTTTGTTTGATCCATATAACTTTATTCTAAATTTACTATATTCTCTCTACCTAACTAAAGATATCAATTTTACTAAATGTTTTTTGAAGTCTTATAATATCTTAACATATTTATTGTGTTTCTTTCTATTTGATCAAAATAATATTATTGCAATCTTATTTTTTTATCAGACAAACTATTATATAAACATAATCTTATTGCAATGTTATTTTAATAGAATCTTATATTTTGGTCTTCTAAACACTGTATCATGTAGAAAGAACAATAATAAGATTAATGTGAAACAACAATATAGAATTTATAAAACAAATACTTTTAGTTTTCAAACTTTTTGTTCTCTCCGAAAAGTCGTTAATTCGTCTGTTTTCTTAAAAGTCGTTGCAAATGTGCAGCCGGTTAAAGATAGTCTACCACCCAAATCTCAAATTAGAAAACATTACCTGTCTTTTTTTTTTTTAATATAAAAAAATGAAGAAGTGTTTTTTCATAAAACATTTCAAAGTTTAAGTATTTTTCGTGATAACATTACTTTAATAATTAAGAAGTTATTGATTTTTTTAATAAAATAGCTATCATAAATCATCAATTTAAATTAAAATTTAAAAATTTAGATGTCGATAATTTGTCATGAAAATTGTTAATCGAATTTAAAATATACATCTATCAGTTTTAGCCGCCGTATCTTTTTTACTTAATAGGAAACGATATATATATATATATATATATATATATATATATATATATATATATATATATATATATATATATATATATATGGAAAAGTGAATATACCCTTAAGGTATATAAGCTTAGGTACCCAAACTCACTATACTACGTCGTTTTGTATCATATAATACGTTCTAATTATCCAATGTTCTTATAATTTAATTTATAACTTGATTAATTCCAATAGTTTTATAATTTACACATTTATCTTCCTCTTATATAATTTCCATTTTCAACTACAATATATATAGCCTATTAGGTGTTCGACAAAAAGACAAAAAGATGTGATGTAAGAGAATGATAATAGTGAAATGTTGAATATCTTGAAAGAAAATCAAGTTAAGGTTGTAGTTTAACAATACTATAATGAATATATCAAATAAAACGACGTATTACGGTGTGTTTGGGTACCTAAACTTATATACCCTTAAGGGTATATTCACTTTTCCCTTTTATATATATATATATATATATATATATATATATATATATATATATATATATATATATATATATATATATATATATAGGTTCATTTGTGACCATTCTATGTTAGATCGTGAGACTAAATCTAAAAATAATTTTAAAATAAAAAATAAATGAAAAAATCCAAAAATTCTTTTTTTAAATATTATTTTCGAAACTTGATTTAATTAAAAAAAATGCCGTTTTTTTTAAAATACGTGAAATATTCTAATAGAATATTACTATGACATATTCTAAAAAATAATTTTAAAATGCAAAATAAATGGAAAAGTCTAAAAATTCTTTTTTTAAATAATATTTTCGGAACTTGAATAAATAAAAAAAATCTCATTTTTTTGAAAAATACGTGAAATATTCTAATAGAATATTACACTATATATATTCTAAAAAATAATTTTAAAATGAAAAATAAATAGAAAAATCCAAAAATTCTTTTTTTAAATATTATTTTCGGAACTTGAATTAAAAAAAAAAAAAAAAAAAAAAAAAAAACGTGTAACGGTCTTACAAAATTAGGCCGTTCATGTGAGACGACAGTTATGGATCATGAGATGCCAAAACTTTTAAAAGTCTAAACTTCTATTAAGGAGGATTTTATAAAATAATAAAAATATTTATAATCATTTTTATTAAATTAAATTTATCGTATAGGATATTTAGAAACAGACAACATTTAGTGAAAAATATATTTTCAAAAGAATTAGCATGTTTTAAAATTGCCACAGTAAAAATATAATCATATTAAAACTTAAAAGAAATTGATCGTCGTAGAATTGAAGAGATCATCTTAAAAACATTATAAACCATTTATTTTTTATTCGTAACCAAAAAGTTATAAACGAAGAAATCCTCTGCTAACATTTATTTTCTTTAAAGCCATTGAAATTTTGCAACTGGTTGTAGGTAGTTAACTTGCTAAAATATAAAAATATGAAAACGTTATCCGTTTTTTTATGCTTAAAGAAATAAATGTGTTTTTTTATAAACCATTTCAAAGTTTTAATATGTTCTGATAATAATAGTTTTTGACAGTTTTTGAATAAAGAAAACTTATTTTAAATTATAAATTAAAATTAATATTAACAAAATACAAATTTTGATAACGTTATCATGAAACTCTTTGATCGAGCATAAAACGTACATCTAGTCGATAAAATGATTGTTACCCGTCATGAGATGCCAAAAATTTTAAAAGTCTTAACTTCTTTTATGTGACAAATTTTATAAAACAATTTATTATTTGTAATCATTTAAATTAAATTGACTTTATCGTATTAGATATTTACAAACAGACACCATTTCTAAGCAATATTATTTAAAAAGAATTAACGTCTTTCAAACTTTTGTCACATTAAAGAAATAATTATATTAAAAGAAATTGATCGTTGTAGAATTGAAGAAATCATTTAAAACCAATATAAATAATTTATTATTATACATTTTTAATTTTTTATCAGTAATCAAAAAGTTATAAAAGAAGAAATCTTCTGTAATCAATGTGTTTTTTTGCTGCCTTCTCACGACCTCCATTTGTTTCCTTTTTTCCATTCTCCTTCCTTCCTTCCATTTTTCTGATCAACTCTTTTGACGTGTTCATAGTTTGATTCCAATTCTAATTCCAATTCTTTTTTGTTTTTTGGAATCGAGTGGAATAATTTTTGAGATTCAGTAAGTTTAACTGTCTGATATCGATGGAAAAGATGAACTTGTTAAGTATTATCGTGACAAGAACTCGAGTTTCATGTTTTTTGGCGGGAGGTGCTTGGTGAGTCTTTGCTTTTGCTTTTGTTAATCCGCTTGATCGTGTAAATTTGGATGAAGAAACACATGTATATGTGTGTTTGACGGCTATATTTGTTCAGAAATTAATGTTTACGTACCTAGGGTTCTAATTGGAACGACTGTGTGTGAAGATTTCGGAAAATAATCGATTGTTGTTATTACAAAAAAATGGCTTCGAATCACTCATCATTAGAAATGCTGCAAGAACCGAGCATCGACACCGATAAACTCAGCTACGAGATCTTTTCGATTCTCGAGAGCAAGTTTTTATTCGGTTACGACGATCAGAAGCTTTGGCAACCTAAACAAATTTCCCCGGAAGTTTCTGTTGCGGCGGCTGACTATGAAGGTGTTCAATCGATTAAGAACCAGAGAGGCAAAATCTGCGTTCTCTCGATTGACGGTGGAGGAATGAGGAGTATATTAGCAGGTAAAGCCCTAGCATATCTGGAAAACGCTTTAAAGGAAAAGTCCGGCAATCCTAACGCCAGAATTGCCGATTATTTTGATGTTGCCGCCGGCACGGGAGTAGGAGGCGTCTTTACGGCGATGCTGTTTGGAAGTAAGAACCAGAGCCGTCCGATTTTCAAGGCGGAGGACACGTGGAAATTTTTAGCGGAACAAGGGAAACGACTTTATGATCAGAAATCAAGTTCAAGCGGTGGTGGTGGCTTATTCAAAAGGATTTTTCGGGGGCGAAGCGGTGGCAGTGGCGGTGGCGGAGGTATATCTCACGCTACTACCGGATTTGAAAAAGCAATGAAAGAAGCATTCATGGTGAACGGACAGAGTTTGACTTTGAAAAACACGTTGAAGCCGATTTTGATCCCCTGCTACGACCTCTCCAGCTCGGCTCCGTTCCTGTTTTCCCGAGCAGACGCTTTGGAAACCGACAGCTTCGACTTCCAGCTCTGGGAGGTTTGCCGCGCGACGTCAGCCTCTCCGGACTTGTTCGACCCGGTATCTATGAAGTCAACCGACGGAAAGACACGTTGTGTAGCGGTTGACGGCGGACTAGCTATGAGCAACCCCACCGCCGCCGCGATCACGCACGTGCTGCACAACAAACAGGAGTTCCCGTTCGTGCGAGGGGTGGAGGACCTTTTGGTACTTTCACTTGGGACCGGTCAGCTTCTTGAAGGAAACTACAATTACGAACAAGTCAAAGCCTGGAAACCCCACAACTGGTGTCGTCCCATGGCTCGAATTTCCGGCGACAGCTCTGCCGACATGGTAGACCACGCCGTCGCCATGGCTTTTGGCCACACCCGTTGTAGTAACTACGTCCGTATCCAGGTATAAACTTTGTCAATCGACAGCCACTCTCTTCAATCCTAATTCATCAAACATTTCTTAATCTTCAACAACCAGTTCTCCAAAGTTAACAATAGTAAATTTATGATAATGTACACCTTCTAATCCACGAGGTACTAGTGTTGAAACTTCCAAAGTTGAAACATCAGGTTATTATTGGAAAGATGAGTTTGTGTCTTTATTTTTTTGTTTTTAGGGTTTTGCTATATTTGTATAACACAAAAAGAAGTAGCATGATTTACTAGTATATGCCCTTTTTGCTTTTTGGTCCGATGGTCCTCCTTTTCTTTTCTCAATTCTCATGCCCCTTCAGTTTTAATTACTTTTTTGTAATCTTTTTATATATATATATATATATATATATATATATATATATATTTTTTTTGTAGGCAAATGGATCAAACATGGGTCGGTGTGGGATGAATGTGGACTCGGACCCTAGTCCAGAGAACGTAAAAACGCTGACAGAGATAGCCGAGGAGATGCTGAGACAAAAGAACGTTGAATCTGTGCTTTTCGAGGGAAAGAAGATCGGTGACCGGAGCAATCTGGAGAAACTTGATTGGTTCGCCGGAGAACTTGTGTTAGAACATCAGAGGAGGAGCTGCCGGATCGCTCCCACTGTTGCTTTTAAGCAAACCTCCACATAATCAAACAGAACCGAGTTCTCTTCCCCATAAAGATAAAGGTAAACTTTTTGTGCATAAATAGCATCTGTGAATCTTAATTACAATAGGAGTAGTGGTGTCGGCACAAACAAAGGCCATTTTGGTCTTTTTAGCAGTGTAATCTGAAAAGTGTTTGTTGGGGTGGAGGGTATGTTTAGTCAAATTTTTTGAAAGAAGGGGACAAAAATACCCCTTGTTGACAAGATTTGAGGGTGGTGACCTGATGATGATGACCCCCCGGACCCTTGGGGTAGGTCCTTTGTTTGGACATGGCAATATGACATGCCAATTGCATGATGGATTCTGACCATAAAATTAAATCCCCTGTTGTTGAATGAATTTTATTAAAAAATGTGATTGATAATTGATTGTGGAATGCAGGGAGGAAGGTCGGAAATAAAGTAATATGTAGTGTATGTAGTATGTACATGAGGAGCTTTTACTTTGGGGTAAAATGAGTTGAAAGGACACTCAACTATCAAAACAAGAAGAAAAAGGTAAGGTTAGGGATGAATTCAGATGAAATTTGTCTGGCTTGTAAGGAAAGTGGTGTCCATTCCATCACAGATCACACCACACTACCCCACCCTACACTACCCTAATCTAATTGTGAGGGGCAGAATTGTAAAAATATGTGTACAAGCATTATCTTATATATATGGGAAATGGTCAAAGGAGAGGTGAGGGTGTTATAATTATGTGGTGTTGTTAATACAGAATTATTGTTAAGTTGGCCCACTTGATTTTTGTAGTGATCAGATTAGAGTTACAAGATACATATTCAAGTCCCAAGGAAGATGATTATGATTGTAGTTGGTGTAAAGGAGATGGCCACTTGTTTATGTTCTCTAAAAAATGTTAAAACTGGAACTGTGTGTTTGTTTTTGTGCATATAAATTAGTTTATAAGCTTATTTTTAGTGTTTGTTAGACCATTAGTTTATTATTTTTTTTTTTCAAAGATATTTGATATAATTTATAATTTATTATTATTTTTTAAAAAAGCTATTTTAAATAGTTTATTGATTGCTTAAAAGTTTTTCATTAGTCTTCTAATTATCACTTAATTTTTGTCATGCATCGTACATGATATTTAATCATAGAACTATTATTAATTTCACTATTGTTAACTGTCTCAAAATGAGTTTTGTGCAAATAAACACTCGTATAATAACATAAAAGAACTAAGCACAACTATTTGGGTTCTAGCTAGTTTCACACATTATTATTATTATTATTATTATTATTATTATTATTATTCTTTTATTTTTTTAAAATCGGTGTACAAGGGAGGGTTATGTTTGTTTTGAACTAGGGATGAAAAATTGGGTATTTGTCTTTTGGAATCGGAACCTTTTTGTATGCAATCTTGAATAACTTAATTCAAAATTCTAATAACTTAATTTAAAATTCTAGAATTTTGAGTAATTTATTTTGAATATTTAAAGAAAGGTTGTCAAGATCAGGATACTACTTACGATCGTTTTTAGGTTTGTAAGATTGGGATCTAGATCCTAAGATCCTACCAAATAAAATATAATTTTAATTTATAATATTTAATCATAAAAAATATTTCAAACATTTAATTTTTCGTTCAAAAGTTATAAAACTTCAAAATATTAATCATAAATCACAATAAAAAATGATAAATGGTAGATTGGTAAAAGGTAAAAGACATAAAATGGTAAAAAAATTTATTTGCAAAAAAAAGAACAAAAAAATCAAGGGAAGGTAGGATCGGATCGGATTTCGATCCTACGATCCTACCTACAGTTTTACGATCCTACCTGCGATCCTACCCCAAATACGATCATTTTACGATCCGAATCATTTTTCATACCTAAGATCGTAGGATCGTGCGTACGATCCTACGATCAGGATCGTAATTTTGACAACTATGCTTTAAAGATTTTAAGAAAAATTGCATATATTTTTTCGTTATATTATCCAAGTTACTGATAATTTCTATTTCCTATTTTTAATACGTAGCGAATTACATATTGATGATATCCATACCTTCTTGTAAGTTTATAATAGATATCTTTTCATAAGTTTTAAAAATTGAATAAAATTAACGAATCGGGTTCCCGGTATTGGAACCGCTACCCGTCAGTTCCAATTCTAGTTCCAAATCTTTATGAACTGTCAGTTCTGGTTGCAGATAACTAAGGCGTGTACTTGTCTACACTCATCCCTATGTTGAACTAAGAAACCATGTTTTAAAAACCGGTTCGAACCGGCTGATTGAACTGATCGGACCGGAAACCAAGCATGAGTGTGGTTCAACAACGATTGGTTTTATACACATTTCTAAACCAAATCAAAACGATCGGTTACTTAAAAAACCAAGTTAAACTGGTGTGATAGAACATGTAAAAACCATTTGTACCGATTTATTGAAACTTGGATAATTGGATTTCATTTAACAAGAATTTTTTTTTTGAATAACTCAATCAATTCATAATGATTATTCAAATCTACACAATTCGAAGGGCAGACTCATACCACACTATCAGGTTGAATGAAAAAGTGGCCATTTGACCGATTCATTTAAAAAACTTGACTTTTAAGACATTACAAACAAAAAAGAGTATTTTTTCACCTTCTATTTATACTCGCAAGTGATTCAAAGGTAAAGTTTTGTTATAGTTATCCCCACGTATGACTTTACTTGTTTCGGCATCCGTTTACATCGTCATGAATATTTGCCACTCGGTTTTATACATCGTCATTAATATTTGCCACCCGGTTTTATCATGTTTTGTTTTAATAATGTTTCATATAGCATAACATTAATTTTAATTATATTTTTTATTTTTCTTTTATGTCCTTATAAATTTATCATTCTAACAAAATTCTATTATTTTATAATCTAATTTATCAAATAATATGTATCTTAAATTAGCTTTTCAGCTACTTATGACAAACAAAGCATAATTCTAGTTTGATTAAAGGTATAAATTAAAAATTGACAATGAACACATACATAACTAATTATATATTACAAGCTCGAGTTAGTGCAAGTGTTTAAATATTTGTAAGTTATTGCTAAGTGTTTCGATTAGTGATGTTGAATATTGCTAGTGGAGTTTGTGGGTAGATAGATAAGAATAGAAATTTGTTAGTGGTTGTTAACAAGCCTGACCACACATTCCCAATCAATTTCCTATTCATAATTTCATATTATTCATTTGTTTAGCACAAAAGCAAAATGAATAAATTGTTTTTTTTTTGGTGACGTGAGATGATTTCTACACCAAAATAAGTGTTTTAGTCCGCATATCAGGGAGATAACAACCGACCTCATTTTATTTATAAACAATTGATGTGACATCGGTTGATAATTGGCGGATAACATACTAGATGTGACTCATGTTAAGAACTGATGAAATGTGAAAACAAAAAGAATTAATTTTGCTTTTTTAAACAAGTCAAAAGTGTCCGTTATTTTATTTTAGTATTACATAATCATTAGTCTAATTGGAAGTCATAAAAGATTTAGACCATAATATAATATAAGTAAGAAGGTACAAAATACATAATTATCTAAGATTTGTTTTATTTCGAACGTCGAAACGGCGTAAATTAAAGGTAGGGATGGATATTGTTTGGTTTATAACAAAAGGAACCGAAAATCAAAACCAAGCCAAAACCAAATTCAGACCTAACAAAATTTCAAATTTGGTTTTCGGTTTGATTTCAGAACAAAGTAAATTATGAATCTGTTTTGGGGTTTACGTTATTTACAGAAGTTCGGCCCAAACCAAACCAAATTACTACGGTTAATTATTTTTTTGTTTTTCCTGTAAGTATTAAATTGAAATTCTGAAAACATATATTTATTAGTCATATTTTAGGGATATATCGATTTTCCAATTTCAAAATCTCAGAAGTTTCTTCTTTAATTTGTTCTTCTAATGTTTCTATATTTCCTTTCAAACTTTAATGTCTAAAACTTTAGATATTTATATTTGAAAGTGTAAAATTTATGTTTGGAAATTTAAATTTTGGATTTTATATTTAACCTTCAGATTTGTTTTTATCGGTTCTCAAATCTAACCAAACCAAAATCTAGTTTGCTTTTTGGTATGACTTGGTTGCATTGAATTTGGTTTGTTTTTTATTTTTTACCGGTTTAGAATTGGAAAAGTTTCAAACCAAGAAAACCAAACCAACAAAACCATAAACCAAACTACTTTCCACCTCTAGTTAAGGGGTAACTCCCTTCTGAAAACCATAATTTTGGGTTATTAGATGTATTGATGGTATGCTAATCTTTTAGACACGGTGACTCAAACTTCACTCGAAAAGGATGGTATACTTTGTGTGTGTGTGTGTGTGTGTGAGAGAGAGAGAGAGAGAGAGAGAGAGAGAGAGAGAGAGAGAGAGAGAGATTCCAACACAAAACCCTATCGAACTTGACATCAGATTCCAACACATTATTGCCGTGTTATGTCATTTCCACTCCTGTCAACTTGAACACATTCTATCTAATTTTGTTAATTTATGAATTGAACCCCTAGAGTTTTGCTAAACAAGAGTTTACTTAAAACATAAACTTCTAATTTGATATCTTTCTCATGAACAAAATTTGTTTGTGAAGATAGATAAATATCAACTATTTGTCTTTTTAACGATACTAATGTTTTTAAAAAATCTGGTAATTATACTAATAAGTAGTTGTTTTTAAATAAAATAATCTGTTATTTGATAGTGGTCGGAGGTTATAACAAAAGTAGAAGAGGAAAATATTCTTGAAGATAAACCTGATACATCAAAGAGTTTCAATTCACACAACCACTCATTCCCAAAACTCAATACCACACGCAAACTACAAAACCTTATAATTTTGTACTTTCTTATTTTATATAAATTGTTGTGTAGGTTTGTACGCATGTATATACAAGATAAACCTTATTATAATTGTGTACTTTCTTATTTTAAGCTACAAATAAATTGCTGTGTAGGTTGGTACACATGTATCTAGAACATACAAAATAAAAAATATCTCCATATTCGGTAAAATTAGTTGGTAGCGGAAAGTGGGTAGTTTGTAGCGTTTTGTTAAATGCTACATGAAGTAATAATTAGACTATATTATATACTTTTTGAAAAAAAAAATGGATTTTGAGGATTTTGTTTAAACTAGACACTAAAAGCTTCTAGTGCCGAACAAAACTTTATGTTCAAAATTGAGTGTTTTGTCAAATGGTAGAAGCTAGAAGCTCTCAAACGCTCCGTGCCGAACACACTTTATATGTTTTTTTTTGGGGCAAGATATCATGGTCTAACGAAATGTAATGTGGAACAATGTTAAGTTATTGGAAAATATATATATATATATATATATATATATATATATATATATATATATATATATATATATATATATATATAAAAGTTGAAATGAGAGCCACCAAAGATTAAAAATTCTAAGAACCAATTATTTCTATGTTATAATTAAGAGAATTTTTAGTATTTTCAAATATTTTGATTTTTTTTTAAAATTTTGATAAATGTCCAAAAAGCAATAAGGGTATTTTGGGCAACATCACTTCATCTTTCTAGCATAAGCATCACTAGGTCCTTCTTTCACTTGACTTCAAACATTGTTTCCTCTTTGTTTCTTCATTTATCAGATAACAACTACCATTTCCGCCGCCCTTATCACCGACGACTCTGCTTTAGCAAATTACCACCACCGTCTCCTCTGTCAACAACACTACCGCCACCACCGTCTCCTCCTTCGGATTTTTACCGCCATCTCCTCTATCAGCATAAATCACCACCGCCTTCTCCGTTCTTCAGTGAATCTCAATATCTACATTATATCTCATAAGATTCACATCAGAAATCATCTGATCTGACTAGATCTTCATCAAATCTCTGGTGAAAACGACCATCGTTGATGATACAACCTTCTATTCGAGATTT